AGGGTGTAGAAATATGGGCATAATTTCCCTTTTTATGTACATTTATTGTTGCACCATTAAGATCTGTACTACGACAATCATTACTTAGTCTGGGTGTAATTCAGTAGTGTATTTCTATGATTTGTTGGCTGTGGTGGGAGGTCTGTATGGTAAGGACATTGTGTGTCGGTTTATTGTAATATCATTGACTTAATACTGTATCAGGTCTTGGTTTACCTTGTATGACTTATTTAAGTATATAAGTGTCCTTTTTTGCTTAGCAAAAAAAACCACCATTACTTAGTGTAAGAAATTTCACACTAAAGGTGTGATTCACTGAGTCTATTACTTTCTCTCTCCTCTCACCGCCACAATCTCTGTTTTGAAGATCTTAAGTATGATCCTCACCATGCAATTCTTGTTTGCCATTTCAATCTAGCCCCTTCCCAGATGTTGGCCTCTTACAATTTCCAGTTACTAATATTTATTATTAGTTGGATTGCCTATTAAGGTTTTAACAACTCTAGCTGCCACTTGCCAGATGACTTCAATTCAAGGTTCTTCGATTTGTAGCATTAATCAATTATACAAGTCCTCTTAGGGTATTCAATCTAGTCTATATTGTTTATTGATCAGCAATAGATATATTGGATTGATGTATCTATTTATCATCTCAATAATGACATCAATAATTTATCAAACAATGTTATGTGTATGTACCTGCGTATGAAGCCAAATTTTTCATAGCCACGAGAAAATGTATCCAGACCACCTTCATACTTGTTAATTTCATCGTGCAATCTTTTGTATTGTCGGAAACTGTGAATTTTGAAACAACATTTAAAACAACCACGTCAATTTAGTTACAGCACAGTAGGTAAAAAAGTGTTAAAGAAGAGATGTTAGAGTTTTGAAAACCAGAGGGTAATCTACGGAACTTTGTTGATAAACAACCTATACAAGCATAAAATTGAACATTGATGCCTAGTATTGTAATTTGTTGGTTTCAGTTTTGAACAATTGTTGTCAACTGACAATTGTACAGCTGAAAGCTGACAACCCATTAAGATTTGATAGGCAGTTATAGTAGAGAGAACTTTGTAACAGTCTACTTAGAGACTCCCCCTATTGTACTCACATTGTTTGATGCAAAAGATGCTCATTGGGGTTAACTTACCGGAAATCAAGATGCTCACGGTGGGCTAGCAAAGATGGATCAATCTCATATATTTTCTGTCCAGCACCAGGTCGGGGAATGGTCTTAGGTTTAGCTTCATCACTTGGTATCTTTACTTTCTTGCCAACAGATACCACCGAACCTAGCCCACCTTCAATCTGTCTGTAACTGGTATCTGCTTCACTAATGCTGTATTTATCCTCATCTTCCATTGTTAAATCCTCTAAATTCTGAAAAAATTAAAACATATATTCAGCAAAGACTTGGTTGAAGGCTGAAGATCCATATGAAAACTTGGTTGAGTTAAAATAAATGGACAATCTAGAGGACTACATCTAAAAAAATCATCAAATAGGTCTTAAGTCACATTGAATAAGATAAAATCCACACCACAATATAAGTGGTGTTTTGCATGATTTGGGACAAAAGCATGATAAAATATGTTCATTAGAAGATTTGAAGTCACGCTGATAGAATTTCCTAATGCACTATGGTTAGGGTTTCAAATGAGGTCGAACATGTATTTGTCTAATCTGAGACAATAAGACTCCTAAAATAGACTTCACATCTCAGAAATCTTCTAAGAGCAGTTTTAGCTACAGTCTAAAGATCATAAGCACACTGCACATACTAATCAGCAATGATGACCCGAAAAACAACATTTGTACAATAGCATTTTCCTTTCTTTTTCATTCACATTAGTAGAGTTTTTATATCTTTTTTCCCTCCATCCCTCATATTCTTTCTTGCTCATAATTACAATCAGCTATGAACCATATGGCAGAAACTTACCTAAAAAAGCACTGGTTTTGCAACCAAAAATGCACAAAGTTTTCATACATTCTCCAGATGCATTTGGAAAGAAAACCACAATCCAAATACAAAGAATGGCATGTGACAACAAAACACAAAAATAATTATATAAACATATTTGATATGGAGTAAGAGAAAAGTACATGTGCATCCTCTGAGGTTATAACAGGAGTTTCAAGTTGCTCTGTCAAGGATGCAGAGTTATCTTGATCTTGAGGAATAAGAACCTTATCAGATTCAGCAATTGCAGAAGACGGGGAATCAGAATCATGAGAAGATTTTACGGCAAGGATTTTCCCTGAAAGTACCCACAAATTATATCACTGAGATGTTTTAAATCCAATATTGTAGATTTATCAGTGCCATGCACAAACTAGATTGAACTTTGTGTTCATCCAAAGTAAAATAGATGTACAACATTATTTCCCTTTCCTATTTTTATTGGTATCACTATGATATATCAGTAATTTAAAAAATCACATATCAACATTAAATCAGTTTCACAAATCAAATGAAGCCAATTTTGCGCTGCATACGGTTTGCCCAATCATAGCCATTCAAATTACAGATCATTTCTCTTTCACCATCAAACCTTATACAGTTGCTTCAATCATTCAATTCATATTCTGAAAACAAAGAGTTTAGTAACGGGATTCAACTCTAAATTTTGCAAAAGTTGAAATACTTTCACCCAAATTGCAACCCAAGGAAACATATTTTGTCTAGAGTGAATCTAAAAGCCCGACCTTATTACAATAGCTAATATTTCTTTCTGTAGTTACTAAAATGCCATGCATACTTTCAAATGTTCGGTTTATCAGTTATACCAACCCACAGTGGCTTCTCATATTATAGAATTCAAAGAATGCAGAGTCTAATGGATACAATTATTACAATAACAGTTGAAATTTCACATGCAAGCACACAAATTATGATTTTGATTTACAATTTAAGACAACCAAAGTTTATATTCTTTCCTTTATCAACATACGACCAACGAATCGTGAAAACGCACATATACCTTAAAATTCTCCCAATAGAGTAATAGTCATAAAAGTCGTAAAAAACTCGATTATCTCAGTTACTAACACATGCATCCACGGTCAGAGAACAGAGGTCAGAAAACAGAGCTACACACTAACATCTTTAATCTAAAAATGCCCCGAGATTGAACACGTTATCCAAGTCTAACCACGAAGTAAAGAGTATCAGCAGAATCTGTCGTTTCAGCTTCACCAGGTTAACACTCGCTTCTAACACGAAATCAAAACCAAACAAACAAGTTTCCGCCTTTGCATGTGTTTTAACATTCAAGAAAGCAAACAACAATGATAAATATATTATTACTATTATTATCATTAGTTATAAGAACAACCATAATGATGAAGAAGATAACAACAAAAAGAAATAATAAGAAACAGTGAAATCCAGAATTAGCAAGTACTACTCACATAACTCCACAAGAGAGGAATGTAACGGAATCGTAAAAGCATAAGGCTAAAATGAGGAAGGTTTATTACGAGAGAAGTTGTTCTTTCTGAGAAAAACAGGAAGAGACGCTGCCCTGCGATCGTCACGGAGGCTGGAGACGTGCAGCGAAGGAACAACCGGAAATCGAATTCCCGAGATGGTGTAAACCATCTTTGCCTGCACTTAGGGTTTAGTCTTTGATATTTAGGAGAGAAGAAGTGAATGTTCTCTCAGAAGCAGAAGAACAGATCCAAAAGTGAGAGTGTGCTGAGTTCGAGGTGTCGAGAGAAGCGTGACACTCTGAGAAGGAGTGATATTATATATAGTAATAATGTATGAGTTAAATTCTGAAATTTATTTAAACAAATAATAAAGAAAATGAAATTGTACGGTGAAGGGTGGCGCTATCTGCGTGGAGGTGACAACAAGACTGCGAGTGATGCTGCTACGTGTGCTTGTTTACAGTCCAAACAGCATGGTAATGAAACTTATGGGGCCCACTGCTCTTGAATTCTGATCGTCCATCGTCTTCGCCAAACGAATAGCACTTGGATATGAAATGCTTGGCTATGGACGCGCTTCACAGATATTTTCCTTTTTGTTTTTCTCTTTTCTCTTGTATGTTGTCCTCCTTTCTATAGTTTAGGAAAAGGGAAAAGTTTCATGAATGAAATGTTAAAGGATCTTTTGCTTTGTGGCAAGTATATGCCTTGCCTTGCGTCCCCTTTTTCAAATCATAAAATTAAATACTTTTCACTACTCCTAACAAAAAAAATGTTCCAAAAGTGCATCTTAGATAATATATCATAAATACTTATACCAAAATTATTAGGAAATCAAATATTATTACTAAGAAATGGCAGTCTGTAAATTCCTCAAATTATTTTAAGGGTTCTCGTGGAGTGAGCCCCGTAATTAAAATAAATTTTAAGTTAGATTCTGGAGATCATCTGTTATTTATGTATGTATTATAATACGACAGGTGACTTCTGAATCAACTAATAGATATAGTACAACAACAAAGGATAAGAGACAAAAACCTGAATTATTAGGAATTGGAAAGTATCTCGTGATGATCACAGTTTCTTCTTCGAAAATATAATAATGGTTATCTTGTTCGGTAGTCCCTTCCTGTCTGAGATGCAGCAAGGCTAAAATATGCAATAGTCTGCTCATTCTGCTATGATATTTGACGCTTTATCTTATTGTTTATTTTATTGGCAGCTTAAATACTGTCAGTTATGAGAGATACTGTAAAAAATTATAATAAAAATACCATTACAGCAGTTGAATAAGAAGAAGGATTATTAAAAGTAAAATGAGATTTTTGGTTATTATTATAAGTAAAATGAAAATAATTATAATTATTTAATAGTTCAGATGTATTTAATTTAAAATCTAACCCTTTTCTGAAGATGTTACATAATTTTTAATTAAAAATATAAGAAATATTTTAATTAAATACATTATTCAAAATTTCAATTTAATAACTGTTGTTAAATTTTTTTCCACAATAATTGAAAGTTATTCCTTAATAAATTTCATATATACATATATCTATCTATACTATCTAATACATATGTGAAACTATAATGATATAATTTATATTAACTATTACATCCTTTAGTAACTTTTAATTGAAAAATTGTTTTATCAAAATTTACAGAAAATATCTTTAAATTAAACCATGTTTATAAAAGAACTATATTACCTTAAAACTATTTGAAATTCCATTTTTATAAATTAAATTAACATAGTAACTTTTATAATACATAAAAATGTTGATAATTTGATTGATGGTTAAGATATGTGTTAGTATTTTGAAGTTGTTAAAAGAATAATTGATGTGGTGGAGAAAATGTAAAGATAGTGGAATGTAGAGAAAATGTAAAGATAATAGAATGTGAAAATAGTAGTTGGAAGAAGTGTTGCAGTTGTCTTTGTTGTGGTAGATGTTGGCTTCTTAAAATGGTAAAATTTATGGGTATTTATAGACCCATAAATTATTCTAGAACATGCTAGCCACAACTTATGTCAAATGTTTTAGATTTTTACTCATGTAGAATGTTCTTGATTTTATTTTTCCTATCTTAGGCTTTTCTAGAATATTCTAGAACTTTTATTACATTTTAGTACTTTTATCTTAGGATTTTTTATATTCTTCTAGAATTTGCATTAGACTTTAATACTTTTCCTTAATACAAATTTGGTAACTCCAAGCATAGTGCTTAGTAGTTCAAATCTTGGTCGTGATAGTGCCTCCATAAAAGTATCTGCAATCTTGAATCAAATTTGTTTAATTGTCTCTTCATCTCCAATGAAATGATATTTAATGGTTATGTGTTTTGTTCTTTGATGATGGACTATATTTTGTGCTATTGCTATTGTTGATTTGTTGTCATAAAAGATAATAATCAGTTCATCTTGTGCTTCACCCATTTCTTCAAGTATTCTTCGTAGCCATATGCTTGACTCGTGGTTTCAGCAGCATCTACATACTCTGCTTTTGCTGTTGATTGTGTCACAATTGCTTGCTTCTTTAATGTCTAAGATAAAATAGTTGATCTTAGTGAGAAAATGTATCCTGACATACTCTTCATGTTTTCCATCGATCATGCCCAATCACTATCTGTGTAACCAATCATCCTTGAGTTAGTCATGGTTTTGTACCATATACTAAACTCATTTGTGCCTTGTAATTATTTTTCCTACTCCATAATGAATCTGACTTGGCTTGTGCATGAATCTTGATAGAAGACTTGTAGCATACATATTGTCTGGTCGTGTGGGTGTGAGATATAAGAGACTTCCAATTAAACTCATGTAGCATGATGCATCTGCTTCTTGTGTTCCATCATCTTTTTTGTAGCTTTTCGTTTACCACAACAGATTAATGACATAAATGACTTTGAACTAAACTAAAAATAAGGAAATAAATGCAACGAGAGACTATTTTTGGATGGATTAGAAAAGAAACGTGAATAAGGAGTTGCTTAGAAGAAACATACACAATGTGCTCTTGGTGTTACTAGATTTTAGTAATTTAATACAGACTAGATATAGATCATCTCTTTATTGACTCATATAAGTTATGCGGGACGGGCCTAAGCAGGCTAAAATACTCAGGACACCTTATACTACTTTTTATTATAGATCTATAAACACTTTTTAGTATAGGTCTATAAGTTGACTTGTACATTTTTTCTCCGTATTTTTATCATAAGTTTAGAAATAAAATGAAACTCCAAATTAATCTTCCAACATTAAGCATTCCTGCTCTTTATCAACTAATTTAAACTACTCTTATCCATGTACAATAATCTTATTTTCAAAATAGTCTTGATTTTAAAATATTATTATTTTAATGAATTTTTTAAAATGTGATATATCAATATATGTTGCAGGTTGTAACTTTTTTGAAAATCAAATTAATTTAGAATGTAAAAGGATATTTCAGGTTTTATTTTGAAAATCGGATGCTAATTTGTATATTGATTACAATTTCAATCCCTTATTTCAATCATTGCATTAGTCATTTAATAGCAGTAACCAAGATTATTGGAATTAATTGTAGTTGATCCTTAAATTAGTCATTGTACTGTATGAGACTAGTACATGTCTACCGATCCATCAACCATATAGGAAATTAACCCCAACAAAAATCACGACTCAATTGATCGAATGGTCGAAATACTCACTTTCATCACCGGTCTAAACGTATTATTCACATATTAACAAAGTAAAAACATGTTTAGATGATATTGGATCGCAATTGGGTCAATCCTATTCAAAGACCCATTACAGAATTTATAAATACAAAAATAAGATAAGAAGGTAAGTGATTGTATTTATTGGACATTTAAAACTTAACTAACCGGTGGATAATACAAAACTAATTTGAGAGAGTACTTTACCAGGTATCTACCCCTCCTCGGATTTGAATCGTTTGTGAAAGTGTGGTTCTCGACCCTACTTAGTGAAATAGTCATCAAATATATTAATGACTAATCCATAAATTTGAAGCCGAAAGGTTGGAGGGAACAAGACAATCCATCTCATCTTTTTTGGAAGTTCAAGAATTTGATGCCATAGGAAAAAACAAACAAGAAAAGGAGAACCCAGGCTACGTGAACAATAACAACCACTGGGAGGAAGTGATGGTCATAACCAAAGGTTTTCTTAAGCAGTTCCTTCAGCGCCATGTTTTCAGCTCCTGGGATTTCCACTTCTGCATTTTCATCACCAAGTTGAGAGGTAACAATGCCATACAGTGTCCAAGCATTAGGAGTAAGCCAATAGTACCATCTCCACCATATAGGAATTTGCTGTAACATTTAGGAGAAACATAGTTTCGATATAAACAAACCTAGTTTCCAACATTATATATTATGAATTAATATATGAAAATAGTAGCTATCGTACCGTCCTAGGAATGACAAAGCCAGAGAACGTGTTCCAGATGGATAAGAAGAAGGTATTGCAAATGGCTGCAACTTGGAAACTCGGTGTTAGGGCAACAATCATCATCCCATATAGTGTGTAGTAGATCAAACAAACGAGCATGAAGTAGTAAAATGAAAAAACTTTGGCCGCTCTCCATTCAAACCCAATCAGGGAGTAGATTATGACACTGAAGAGTGTAGTTTGAATAGCGTTGTAAATTGTCTCCACTGCCACCTACGAAATCAGTTAGTGCAATAGCTTACATAAGAAATCTACGAAGGGAATCTGTGTCTCACAAAGATACATAAACTTACTAACAAAACACAATTTGGATTTGTAACTTTCTCTTTAAAATCAACAGAGTTATGCCTTGTCTTGTGAATTTCTACCTGACTAATTGCATAGGTCAATGTTGAATACATCCCTGCTGCTCTTTCACGATACAATACGGTTCTTTCTATGTCAACAATTGGCTGCACTCCCATAGTGTTCTGGGTTCCAAGGAACATCACAGCTGTATACATGGCTCCTAGAAGATCCCATACATCTTGTTGCTTTTTTCTGGCCATCAATTTAATTAGTTTTGCAACATAAATAGTTAATATGAACTTGAACTTCAGTTTATCTTTCCAAGGCCATAAGAATATCAAATACACTTGTAATAAACTATTAATTAACTTACATATTTTTGGCTTTATTCAGGAAAATTAGACCAAAGAGTAACGCAATGGATATTGTGAAGAAGAATCGAGTGCTATTGTAGGAAGGATTTCTCCAATAAGACCAATACTGTTTCCAAAAACAAGCCTTGCACTGCACAAAGAATGACTGGGAATATTTGGTTGGGAAGTGCAAGTCATTGGAACCTGATGGTGGAGTACTGAGTTCTTTGATAAGCTCTTGATTATTTCTGTAGAAAGTATAAAGAAAATAAAGTTACTATTTGTAAAGCTAGAGTTTTCGTAACTATAGTAATAAATCATAGGAAAAGGCTTACAGGTAAAGAGTAGAGTTAGCGTAAATCTCCGAAAAATCTATGCCAAGTTGAGCTTCATATGAAGGAGTGCTAATTTCAAGCATCCACGTTGCAGGATTACAGCCATCGTTGATTCTTGGAACCCCTGGAATAGCCTACAGAAAACATTCATTTATATATTTAAGTAAGAAAATATTGCCACTGAAATTATAAGCTGCCCATTCAGAGAATAAAGCAAAGGTATATTGATATCATAGCTCCATTAAAATGACAGACAAAAAATTTCAATACTTCAAAATATTCTATGAGCTGCTGTGAATGATAACCAAGAGGTCCAGCATAGATAACTTGTCCTCCCCTTTTCATTAAAAATAACTGCAATAAAGAATAAATAAAATTTGAACATGTTAATTATGTCAGAAAAACAATCACCTAAAGCGATCAAATTTACATATGAACTCTAATAATTTCATATTACCAATTTACCTCATCAAAAGCTTCAAAAATGTCTATGCTTGGTTGATGAATTGTGCACACAACGGTTCTGCCAGTGTCCACTGTGTTTCTCACAGTTCGAATAACAATAGCTGCGGCTCTAGCATCAAGACCAGATGTTGGCTCATCCATGAAGATAATTGAAGGGTTGGCAACCAATTCTACCGCAATTGTAAGTCTCTTCCTCTGTTCAATTGATAGACCGTTTATGCCTGGAAGCCCCACAAGAGCATCTTTGATTGATTTAAGCTCAACCAACTCCATAATTTCTTCAACAAACATCTGTATCATCAGAAAAAATTGAAATAATTACAAGTATTAGCCTTACTATTTACTAAATTCATAATGGCCAAGAAAAATATAACAATTTAAGGTTGTCTTCACACACCTTTCGCGTCTGTGTATTGACATCTGAAGGAAGGCGAAGCCATGCAGAAAATAATAGTGATTCATAGACAGTAACATTCGGAGAATGAATGTCATTCTGCTCACAATAACCACTGACACGAGCAAATGTTGCTTGGTTCTTTGGGTAACCTGATATGCTAATACTTCCTTCGATGTATCCACCTGTTTTTCTTCCAGCTAGTACATCCATAAGGGTTGTCTTTCCAGCACCACTAACACCTATAAGTGCTGTCAATACTCCTGGTCTAAAAGCACCACTTGCATCATGCAGTAGTTGAAGTCTATCTTCATCGATTCCTTCACTTTTCATTTCCTGATAAACATAAAGCAAAACCAAAAGTATGAGGGAAGAATTAATCACATGAAAGTGATATTACAATATTATTTGAAGATATTCATTCACTTACGGCTGGCATGTCTACATAGTAGTTAACATGATTGAACGCAAGTGAAAGAGGTTGAAACGGCATGACCATTCCTTTTCTTCTTTCTCGATGAGAAGCATTTCTTACTGCCATGTCTATTCCCTGACCTCCTGTTTATCAAAAGGACAGAGTATTGAATAATTGAATCAATCAATAATTTGAATTGCTTGAGAATAGCAATCCATTATTCTTTTCAAAAATTGATGCAAGGTCATGAAAAAAGTTATACTCAGTTTAAAAACTCAAACTATTTAACAGAATAGTGCGACCAAAAACATGAATGTCAATGAAATACAATATGTAAGAACGAAACCCAGACAATTTTTAAGTAGCAATGAAATACACTTGAATGAGCAAGAAATACCTTCATTCTTCTTGTCATCTTCATCCGTGATGAATGCTTTTGAATCACCAATAGCTGAAAATTTTGTTTGATTAAAATGGTTCGGCAGTGTTGAAAATTCCATTCATTTATAGTGTATTAAAATCTACAGATATATGTTACCATTCAAATAGGTCAATGCAACAATGCAGAGAAGGTTGAAAAGAAGAATAAAACCAAACAACGCTCCGATGCATATCCAAAACCAGTAATCTTCAGTGTAAAAGCCTCGAGACTTGAGAAGCACTTCTCCAACTGTAGGTGCATCAAATCTTGCGTCTGTATTTGGCTGAAAATAAAACATATTTGACAACTCTTGGAGTTAATGGAATTAATTTAGACTCCGAATTTGTTTTTGTATTTGAAAGTATGTAACATGGGCAATGAGAAAAAAGAAAACATTTCTTACTTTACTCCATCTTTCATCTAAAAATTCATTTAGTACCAAAGCATTCTGACCATAACTCATGGGAGAAACATAGTAACCCCATTTCAACCATGGTTTGATATTATCTGCAGGCATGAAAGATGAGTAGGAAACAAAACAATTCAATCTCAATGTTTTTATTTTACTGACATACATATATCTAAAAGATTAAGAAATGAATGACGATGTCTCACTTTTTGAGACAACAAATCCTCCAAGCACAAAGACTAGTTGATATATCAAACCACTCAGTATGTTAGAAGTAACGTATGTTCTTCCGATTACACCAACCAGCCGGAATAGAGAGATAGCCATCTGATGGACGCCAAACAGTGCCAATAGTTGTTTGAAAAATCTGATGAAACAGAATGATTGGTGTGAGTTTTAGAATTTTTCATTTTGAAAAATAATAGCCAAAGCAGGAAAAGGAAGGAAGCAAACCCACAGGACCTGCTAGCTGAAGGAGCAAATCCAATTGTGTAGTATGTGAGAACAATCCATACTGTTGATTCCACGAAGGAAATGGGGATCCTGAGAACCCATATAGGTAAGGCAAAAGCCCATGCAGGGTAAAACATGAAATCCCTTTGTTTGAAAAAGACAGGAAGCCTTGAAACAATCATGGCTTGTTCTGAGAACCCATTGAACATTATGTTCACCAGAGAAAAGAACAGTGCTCCAAAGAACTTTCCCCCATCTTCAACTGTGCCCACTGGCATTTCAACTCTAAGGAACAGAGTAAAGCCTAGAATAGACAACACAACTAACTGTATTATCCTGAATACGTACACAAACATGTCACGTTTCATAAGCAACCATTCTCTTGAGAAACAAGCCTTCAATAGTTCCCAACTTGATATACCATACTTGTCTTTAACTAAGGCTGCTCGGTGGGTTTGCCTCTTATCATAAGGAACCTTAAACTCAGTATCAAGCTGTTCTCCTACGTGAAACAAATGGAAAGACTCGGCAAATTCTGGAACTGAAACATACCTATATGGTTCATCCTTTCTAAACCAATACTGTTGCTGATCTTTCTTAGACGTTACTTCTTGTAGAAAGTCAGCAACTCCCTTTCTAGGAGGACATTTGAAACCCATGTTTTGAAAGAACTGTAGCACATGTTGACGTGGACCTTGGTACACAATGTAACCTTCTGAAAGTAGGATGATGTCATCAAATAGTTCGTATGTCTCTGGTGGTGGTTGGAGAAGAGATATGACCATGGTTTCATCCATTATATGAACCATTTGGCTCATGAACTTGCATATCTGAAAGGTGGTGGAACTGTCCAGTCCTGTTGATATTTCATCCATTAAAAGTGCTTTTGCCGGTCCTACTAGCATCTCCCCTGCACCCAGTTACAATTGAAGCAGTAGGTAATAGTAAATATACAAGCTGTTAACAGCACTATTTTTTACACTAATTGAACTAAATCATTTTTAATTTAATAATTTTTATGTATTTTACTTTTGATTCTATCATTTTGTGAAGAATAAGTATGTGATGTAATTGACCTGCTGTGACACGCTTCTTTTGTCCACCTGAGATGCCCCTTCTCATGTTATTACCAACCATGGTTTCAGCACATATATCCAATCCAAGTATCTGTTAGAGCACCAGAGAAGTACGTGTAAAAACAAAAAAAAATATATATATATAACTTTTGTTCCTTACGTAAATTTATTCATTTTTTAATCAAAAGAAAATAAAGAATAATTGTTTTCTAAGATTAAATACAATTAAGGATTTCTGACCAATAATATGAGTATCTACTTTGGATTTCAATTCTTATTATCAAATACCCAAATCTGTGTGTTTGTTTTTTTTTTACCATCCATTTTAATCATGTTTATTTATGAGCTATCTGAACTAAAACTAACTTTTCTTTTCGAATTACAGAAAATTAAAAAAAAAATCTATTTTGTATTAAATAGTTGAAAAATTAACTCAAATTTAATAAATTAAAAATGTATTTAAGTTTACTTATTACTTTTTGCTTTCTTTATTATAAATAAAACACGTTTTAGAATAAATTGTTGATTTTCATAATAAAAAAGTTATAACTTTTATGCAATTTAGATTTATTTTGCTTATGTATTCTATTAAATATTAAATATTACACGTATTTATGTTTTTTTAATGAATAGTGAGTACAGCCCTTTAAATCATTAATAAATGACAATTAATTTGGTTCGTCAGAATGATTTTTTTAATTTAACAATTATTTTATTGATTTTAACGATGATGTTAGAATACGGAATTGCTTACATAAATTTGTCACCAATAAATTTAACATGAATATATCTGTATTCAACTTATAAAGAGAGTTATTACATAAATAGTTTTTTTTATTTTATTTTGAAGCATCCATATTAAAATATTACTTTTATCAATAAGTAACTTATAAAACCTCTCATTCAATACACTAGTTGAAGTAATTTTTTTATGCGAAAGATAAGTGGAGAAAATATGAAGTTAGGCAACAAAATTACAAACCTTCAGAACATAATCTGTTTGCAAATTGGTTTTTTGACCAGATATGACGGTAGCCTTCATAAATGCATCAATGTCAGGATCAGGTTTGATTCCTTTTTCTTTCTCCCGTCGTAGAAGTTCTTCTAACATTTCATACCTCGTCCCAACACCTAGACAACGTGCTGTAAAATCTAATGTTTCTCTCACTGTCATTTCTCCATAGTGAATATCATGTTGCCCAATGTAGGCACAAGTTTTTCTACCAACAAATTCATTAAGCTCATGCCCACAATAACTTACTCTCCCACGAACCTGATCATCGTAATATAAATTTACAGTAAAAAAAACAAAAACAAATTACACCTGAGATGATTAGAACGAAGAAGAAATTATTTAAGTAAATTCATTAGAACCAAACAAAGATATGAAACCAGACAGTGAACCTTTAAATCTGGGTCAAGCTTCCCTGCAAGGGCTAGAAGTAATGTTGTTTTCCCTGCACCTGGAGGACCTAGAAGTAGGGTCATCCTGATATATAAATTACCATATGTTATTATTATATAAAACAAGAATAAGTCTTAAATTCCATTAAATAAATAGTAAATAAAAAATAGAAAATCTACTTCGTAAATATAATTTATTTCGGAATAAAAAATATTCATCCATCTTTAGAAACTGGCAATTAATATATATTTTTAGTTTAATATATTCTCACAAAATGATGAATGTACCTTGATGGTTTCACAATTCCACTAACATCGTTTAGAATACGAATTTTTCTCTTCTTGGAAGGTGAAAGGCCAACCAATCCCAGAATCGTCTATATCAAGCACCACAAATGAAATCCAAAATAAATATTATAAAAAATATCACAAAATCGAATTTAACTAAAGCTTAGGCACGTTAACAACTTTAAAATGTATGGTATTAAAGCTAATCTAATATAAAAGATTTCCTTAAAGATAAAAAGAAAAAAAAGTAATACAATGTATGTGATATATTTGTAAACAAAATTATAGAAGGTAAGTATCATAACTATGATTTGGAGAGAAAAAAAACTGTTTCTTCCAATATATTTCGGTTCTAGATTTTAGAAAAACAAATGAAACTTAAGTACCTCAAAAGTGTCGAGAGCAACATTAAGCAGGGTAGGAAGTGATCTATTTCCAACATGAACATTTCCCTCCACTGATAGATTCTCGTATCTGATTTCAATTTCTGGAATTCTAATCCCCACTCTGCATGATAACAATTCTCAACAAAGTCAGGAAAAAAAAAAGTGGCTATAAACAATATTGACCACTTAATAACATTGGAAGCTGAAACATCAAAGAATATTAACAATAACACTGATAATAATATGATGATGATGATGATGATGGTAATGACAGATAAAAATAACCTATCAATTCTATCTCGAAGTTTACGAAGAAATTTCTCATTATCATCATCGACAAATTTGAGTACACTGTCTAACAGATGCTTTTTGTCTTGCAACCTAAGATGAGCGACATCAACTTGACAATCTAGAACCTTTCCATTGTCAAGCACTACCCTCAACAACCCTGTTCTTATGCGGTCTAGCGTAGGTAAACGCTCGATCGCAGCCCATTTGAGATCCTCCTCATTGTCTTCTTCCTTGCTGCGTCCACTCCTTAACAATGGAGATGACGTCCAACTCTGTTCGTAACCCAACGAAGGCCAGCTATGGCGATGCTTTTCTCCCATCACCAAACCATTTCTCGCAGATGTTGATGCCATTAATTTTCAAGAATGATAAGCCTGTTACATATATAGAAGAGATTCAAAAATCACACTGCATGTTTTATAACCTTGATGGTTTTATAAAAGTGAATAAAAGAGACCAAACAGTGTGCACGTGTCAAATAGGTATAGCTATTAACTTACGAGAAATGTTGACCGTTCTTTGAACTTTAATACTGACAGCGTGAATCTCCTTGATCAAAAGTAGATAATAATTACACTGACAAAAACGATGACTCTTTAAATATATCTCGCTTGAACATGATAGAGACACCTTATATATAATTTTATCATGAAAATAATAATAGGTTTTAATAGAGATTAGATTAAATGCTAATATTTTTAATTTTCGAAATCAATGTTTTATGACGATTTTAAAAATCCATATATAATAATATAGTTAACCTTTATTAAATTCATTTAGATTAAATAAAGTTATATTCAGAGAAGGAATTGATATATATAAAATACCACTAAATAATTAAAAAAAGTTATCGGCACAATATTAATTAACAAGATTTCAGTGGATTTAATCTGTTCAATTCCTATAATTTTAAAAATTTACATAAATTCCGTATAAATCACAACAAAGACAACATTAGAATAATTTAACAAGGTTGGTAAGTTTTAGATATCAAAAACGTGCAATTTATCGTTTCCAACCAGAAGTTTAATTAGTTCAAATTACATAATATATTACTATATTATATGTACATAAAATAAATAAATTAAAGCTGTTTTTCAGCCAATTCTCTCTCTAAAATCCATACATGTCTTCTCATTTTCTTATGTATTTGCATGTAATGAAAAAAATCTTATGAATCCCTCAATTAATAACATTGCATACTTGATCAACACTTTCACTTCAATTGATAAATGCAATTGTTTATTGAATTCATCAATACCTTCACAGTAACTTTTAGAATATCAAACTTTTATTGTCAATGGCATTTATTCATCTACATTTAAAGACTATTTTTTTCACATACAACACATGTAAACTTAACATTTTGTACGTTAGAGAATTATACATGTAAACAAACTTTACAATAATTAGAGTAATCCTTGTCTAGTTTGACCAAAATTTTCTCTATCCAATTAAAAAAAATACTGACCAACTTTTGATGAAAAATAACGTTGTTCTTGTTCATTTAAAAATAATTCACGCAAATATCAATCAAAAAGTAATCACGACGAATGTTAATTAAAAAATATGTGTGGATGTTAATTAGAAAAACCTTCGCTAACGTCTATAAAAAATGAAATTATAATAAGAGAAACATGATCTCAACAATATCAACCAAGAATCATTCTTAATTAAAAAAAAATTTATTACCATTGACTAAAAAAAGAATAATGACAATATTGGTAAAAAATTATAACCAATACCGATCGAGAAATTAACTCAATCTATGTTAGCTAAAGAAAACTCCAAGTGACTTGGGCAAAAAGGAAACTCAATCATGTCAATCGAAAAATGTATATTAGTCAGATCACGATCACATGAATACTATATATCTATATATATCAATGTTAAGTTATTGATTGAAAATGAACATTGAGGGTATTTTATTATAGAAAAAAATAAAGGATGAAAATAGAAATGAAATATTAATAAATAAATTAAGTTTTTACATATTTAGTAGCATAAAAATAGGTAAACAAATAGAGAGAAAAGTATCTTAAAATATTAAGCTGTTTATTTATTTTTTCTTGATTAAAATAATATAATTATGTGATCTCAATAACTGAATGATTAATTAATAGAGTGAGGACCAAATGAACAGATTATTATGCAGGGAGGAATTTTTATATTAATTGAAGGAAGCACAGGTTGCTAGAGCCATGACGACGTTAAGCAATTATTAATAAAAACGAAACAAAATAGTCCATCCACATCATGCATGCCTTGTAGGCTTTTGGAATGTTATTTTAAAGGTCCCCTATTGAGTACTCTCAGAGGTAAAACTACTCTCATTTGAAACTACTTTCTCATGCACTCGCCTATTTACATACTCTACTAATATTAGTCAAAGTGCAGATTCCAAACTAATGTAATAAAACTGATATGATATGACTTTGCTGAGGCTATCTTTTTTGGAAATTAAGAAATTTGATGCCATAGGAAAAAACGAACAGGAAGAGGAGAACCCAGCCGACATGAACAGCAGCAACAACCGGAAGGAAGTCATACTCAAAACCAAAGTTTTGTTTGAGGAATTCCTTCAGTTCCATGTTTCCATTACCTGGTATCTCCAATTCTGCAGTTTTGTCACCTAGTTGTGAGGTAATTAGGCCATACAGTGTCCAAGAAATAGGTGAAGCCCAATAATACCATCTCCACCACACAGGAATTTGCTGTGTAACATTTAGCAGAAACAAAATTAGATTTGTATACAAAAAGGAGAGTCATTTCCAGAACTAATTAAATTATGAATTCCATGTCAAAATGACAAATCGCTTACCATCCTGGGAATGACAAAGCCAGAGAACAAGTTCCAGAAACTCATGAAGAAGGACATGCAAATGGCAGCCACTTGGTGACCCGGTGTCAGTGCTACAATCATCATCCCATACAATGTGAAGTACATAAAGCTCATGAACATGTAGAAGTAGAACCAACAGAAGTTTGTTGCCTTCCAATCAAACCCAATCATTGAGAAAAGCAGAAGAGCATAAATGGCTGTTTGAATTGCATTATAAATTGCCTCTATTGCCACCTACATAATCAATGAAGTGTCACATGAAGATTTTTCGTTTCCAGAACAGCATAAGCTAGCTTCAATAACTAAAAGAAAATGGATTTATTAGTTTTTTGTTGAATTTATCAAAAGGGTGTCTCTATGCCACTCTTCCTTTGCTTTTGTACCTGGCCAAATGCATAGGGCAATGCAGAGTACATCCCTGCTGCTCTTTCACGGTAGAAGATAGTTCTTTCAATGTCAACAACTGGTTGTACTGATGAAGCATTCATGGCTCCCAGAAACAACACAGCCGCGTACATGGCTCCCAAAAGATTTCCTAAATCTTGTTGTTTATGGCTGCCATCAAAATGGAATAGTAACTTCAAATGCAAATTTTGTTGTGAAAGACTGACTTAATAGACAAGTTTGGTAACATACGTTTTATGGGCTTTATGCCAGAAAATCGCGCCAAACATGAATCCCTCGACTATTGTCATGAAGAATCGGACACCGTTATACTGAGGATATCTCCAGTAAGACCAATATTGTTTCCAGAAGTTAGCTTTGCACTGAACAAAAAACGATTGGGAATACTTGGTTGGGAAGTACAAATCTTTGGAATCTGGTGTTGGAGTACTAAGCTCCTCAATTAGCTCTTGGTTCCTCCTGAAGAAAAGTACAGAGAAAACAGATAGTTACTAAGACAGAATTATTGTAACATGAACTCAAATACTAAAAAGGTAACATAAATAAAGCATGAAAAATCATACCTGTAAAGGGTAGACTTAGCATAAATCTCTGCAAAATCTACCTCAATATTAGCCTCAACTAAAGTAGAGCTGATATCAAGCATCCATGTGGCAGGATTAGTACCATCCTTGATTTTTGGAACACCTGGGACAGCCTGAAATATATGCACAATAGATATAATTATATGAAACCTTTTCTGATTTAAATAAAAGAACCCAGTGCTGCAAAAGTGTGAAGCAAGGTAAGGTTGATCTCAAAGAAAATATACACATAGAAATGCTTCAATACTCACTTCAAAATATTCTATTAGCTTATGTGAGTGGCGACCAA